CACTAAATATAATTTGGGCCAAATTTTTTCCAATCTTTTGAAATATAAATATCTGTGTAATTGTGAGTCTGGTTAGAACCCATTTTGGATCCTCCATATGTTGGCCTAGCCATCCAAGCTAAAGGCTAAAAGTTTAGGGACCACCAGCATGAGTTTTCAAAAGAGGAAGAAAGGGTTAAGCATGACATATTTTAGGGCCTTGGGAAAGTGTGATCAGATAGGTTCAAGTGTGTGTGTGTAAGCCTAACCAAAACCAACACACCCAGGGCTAACCCTAAGGCCTGAAATTCTTATGGGAACTCTCCTTGAGTTTCCTTATGTTGGCTTCAACCTACTAAGTGCTAGAAGTCAAAACCATACATGTGAAACTCCAAGAAGCGTAATGAGGTATTTAGAAATTCTAAGGGTTAGCGTTCCACTGCTAGTCCTCTAGGATAGTCAACAGGAAGGTCTTATGGGTAAATCATCGGCTCTTAAGAGAGGAAGACTAAATCTCAACAAAAGTGAGGTAAAAAACCACTCAATTTTTTCCCATTATCTTTATTGAAATTTGAAAAAAATGGTTGGAGGCTAACCAATCAATCATTACGAACTTATGAACTTACGGAGTTCATGATAAGGAGATTCAAAAACTACACACTTACATTTTAGCACTTCTTTTAAAAAATTTCGTGAGGTATACAACATAATATCAATCTTCACCTTATACTTGTTTATTCTTTAAAAAAAATCAAGAAGGGTTCATGCACTACTATTGTGGATCTTTATGGTTCTGTCAAAATCCCATATTCACTCATGTTGTGTGTGAAATAGAACCTCTTCTTCCACTCACTCTGAAACCTATTTTTGAGGTGTGTCATCTTCACATTCAAAAGAAAGATTACAATACCATCATTTTGCTCCTTCGAGAGGAGCACCTGATATACAAAGTTAATGGACTAGAACGACCCCTCCAAACAAGTCTACATGATGATCACCATCACACTTAGAATAGAGTTATGACTAATTTTAGCAAGCATGATCCCAAAAGATTGAAGACATTGACAATCTCGCCCTATGAAGGAAATATCAGTCAAAGTTGTAACATGTCCGAGTAGAGACGTATCTCATGGAGATAAATAGTTTCAGATTTTCATCATTCTTAACAAAACTCAATGTCAATTATTTACTAAAAACATATTCTAATTATGCATTAGCCAGTGCCTTACCATCCATCTACAACTCTTTTAGAAGCCTAGTCCAGGAAAAACTAACGACACTTTTTTAAACTAGGCATCATCATTGGAGAAGAAGTTATTATATTATAATTTAATTCTTAGAAGACTGCATTTAAGAAGTACAAAGGATAACATTGCCTCTGAATCCATCTCTTACAAAATAAAATAGGTAACTAGTTTGCCTTGAAAATCGAAATTAGGAGATAAGAAGAAATATAGCTCAAATGGCCTATAAATTATTGGTCTTAATAGAAAGTAAAAAAAAAAGGAAACTGAATAATCAGAAAAGCTTAATATAGCAACTGAATGGTTTGATCATTTATTCATTTAAAAAATTGTCAATTTTTATAATAACAAAAATTGATTACAAATAAGCAGACATAATAAAAACTATCACGACATGATATATATTACAAATAAAAATGATGCAAATGATTCTTATTAACAACATCAATATCTCTTGATCGAGGACGACACTGAAAAGCTAATCAAACACCAGAGAGAAAGTTATCGAGATTTTTCAAGTCAAGATGACGAGAGTGGAAAAATAACTCTGCTCTCATCACCTCCAGCTTCCATCAGGTGCAATGAAACTTTCCTCGAACTTTGCATCTAAGTAAAAAATTTGTTTATGTAACTTCAGAGCAACCACCACGTCTTTGGCCTCATGATTGGTGATGTTCTCTCAGGCACACGATAAATCCTAATCCAAGATAATCAAATTCTCTATCAAGTAATTGTACTTTAATGTTTTGATCACCTCCATGTCACATGATGTACTTACTTCCAATCCTGTGGGCCTCAATACTCTTTCAACTAGGTTAGATTTTATTTCAAGGATCCGAACAGCATCCCCCTTGGAGATATGGTTGGAAGCCAACATGATTGGCTCCATTATGATCTAGACATCAGCAGCAACTAGCTCCAGTCCCATCACATTATTCTTGACCGTTTTCTCTACAAGTAGTAAGAGATTGTATTCAGTAGAAAATTAAGGTTAAATTTGACAAGATAATGTTGCATACTTTAGGGAATAAGGTAACACCACCTTGGTCCAGCACTTCGCCTTCCTCAACAAAATCTCCTGAAGGGACCCCTTAAATTGAAGTAGACTCCCTAAAGATAGTAGCGAGAATGACCTATTAATAAACATAAAGATCAACATTTCAAAAATACATAAGATTTATTACATAGAATTGTCCGTCCAACCACCAAAAAGTAAGAAACATAGTACAATTACTACCTGAGCTGATTTCGACGATGGCCACACTAACTTGGATTCCCTCTACCCTTGGAACAAATCAAAGATTGAACTTCCACCAGATTATTCAGATTAAGGAGAGTCCTTTCAAATCAATAGATCTCATAAAGAAGTGACATCATCCATAGCCCAAGAGCGACTCCCCTGCCTTGTTTTCAACTAGATCTGAAACATCCACAATCCCTATAGAGAGGTCACATGAAGTACCCTCCCTCGAGATGCTCTGTCCCTCAAGAGACTTAATTCTCTTATGCGGTTTTTCACCTATAAAATGAAGAACAACATGTCTTTTCTGAAAAACATATCATAGAGGTGTTCCCTTAAGATCTTCATCCTATCTAAACTGATCTTATTCATCTAACAATGGAGATAAGAATTTTTTGTTGAATCATAGCAATTATAATGAAAATTTGAAACTCTCACAAAATGGTTTTATAAATTTTGAAGGGAGCACACATTAAAATAGATTTTATAATTTCCTTAACACTCTACTTTGTTATCTCTTTTGGCAGCATAATTGCACTGCAACAAAAGTTCATAAAACACATTTGTAAGCATGCATGCAAAAGGAAGACGCCAATACCCCTCGAGTATTATCAAGGTTGAATATAATTCTATCAGAACTCAACAAGCAGAACCAAAGTTTAAAATTACTCAATGTTAAAGGATAATTAACGCCTCCGAGACTAACTATTCCCATTCTCATAGAGTTATAAAGACAACTCTCTATAGGTGTAACAAATAGTGTTCTCAGGAGAACGTTAGTTCAGAAAATGATCATGAACTCAAACAAGGCTATTAAATTCTTGAACAAAGCCCACTTGTCAAAGAAATTGAATTAATTGAGCCTACTGTAGAAGTGATCGAAAAGGGTTCACCAACCAAAGTGGTCAAACCGAACCCACCTGTGAAAATGGTTAAACTGAGCAAACATGCCAAAGTGGTCGAACTAGGTCGGGGTAAACTAGTTTTCATAAAAGTCCAACATCACATTACAGTACATACATTCATCTTTATCTATTGTATTGCCTAACAACCATGCCACATTCTTTTCCTCAAAATATCGTGAAAATGCATAGTACCATACAAGTTGTAATTTTATAATTCTTTATCTTTTCTTATGTATAGAGGGAAGGGAATGGACCATGAAAAAGTAGGCATATTCTCTAACTTAACAAAAAACACTTTCAATGAACTATTCCTTACTCCCACAGATTTAGCAAATAAATGAAGAACTTGAACTCTAGCAACACATCTATCATCTTCTTCCAAACCTTCCTCTTAAAGCAATCTTTCTCAAGTTCTATGAACTCACAGATAATATAAGACCCTACGTCCTGGAAGGAATCAACAAGGATTCACGAGAATGTGGTTTGTTATACATTAATCTGATTATGATTATTTAAATCTTTCATTTCCTTCACCACAAAATAATAGAAAATTAAGAGTATCAATTTTCTATTAAGCAATCAAACTATCTTTTGACAATTTGTTTTCTCAAGGTTGCCTCATAGCACATATTGATTTATATCTCAAACAAACATTATTTAAAAAATTGTCTAATTCTCGTTGACCAAATATTTATTTTGCACCATAGAAGTCGTTGCATTCAAGTTGTAGTCACTTCATAAAACATGCTTTAATAAACCGTTGCATTCAATTAATTAAAACAAGTTTTTTCTTTATATAAAGTGACTAAAACTTGAGTTTTCATAAATATTTCTCCCGCATGATATTCAGTAATGTTGCTCTATAAATAAGGCCACATTAAATTTTCAAAATTTTGTTTCTGTTGCAACTTAATAATTAAATAACCCATTGCTTTTTTTTTTTTTTCGTTTAGGTAGGATCGAAAACGCCTTCTAATCGGCCATCAAATATAACATTCACCTTTATTCAAGAGTACTACTTCAAGTTCCAGTTTTATTAAAAATTAGGAAATTAATTAGCCGATCCCGCCTGTACTATCTTACCCCTTCCATCTTAATTTTTCAAAAAATAGTATCGTATAAATCGCATTAAACAAGGTCGTTCATATATTTCAATTCTCATTTTATTATTGAAATGCGCTGACTTGGATATCGATTGACAGCCGGCGATTAAAATTACCGAACAGCGAAACAGTCAATTACGTAGCTGCCACAAAAGATACATATGAATATTGACGATTCATGGTTGAAGAGCACAAAGTTGCGTGCCCCATCCACCGTATTTGATCGTACTAACATTTCCGCCCACCGGGACCCTTACAAGCGAAGCAAAAAATGATCATGAGACGTACTTGTTTGCTAACGGCAACTCCAATGAAAGGGCCCCACCATACCAGCCAGGTTGTTGGCGGGTTACTTGCTCGGGTTCAATTCCCCGGTCCCTCTAAGCGGTGCGATCTCATTTCGATCTTCGCCTAGGAACGACCATATCGCCATGCTTGCATAATTGCATACTGCGTACCGAACGCAGGGACACGAGAAAATTCCATCTTAACGAACATTTGTTGCCTTATCGCCTTCTACATTCTGGTTTTTAGGCAGTCCGGAAAGCCTGAAATGCTTTGTTCTTCATGGCCCTACAGGGGCAAAACGGTAAAATTGTAGAGGATTCAGTTATGCTATGCAAGACTGTACTGACCCATAAATTGTCACTGATTACTTTTCGACGTCGCCCACCACTTCGTTATAATTTGCTAACGGTTTCGAGGGCTGTCCAGTCACTGTGCGTTTTGGTCTAAGTATCTATAAATAGCCCACCTCACCCATCATTCAATTTCTCGTCTCTTTCTCCTTCCTCCCTCCCGCCCGAGTTTCGATTTTTTCCGAATTTCTTCGATCTGCTTATGTTTGGTCTCCAGTCACAAGTCTCCTAATACTCCATCAGTTCTGCTTTACCTTCAGGCTAAAAGCTCCGGTGAGGGAGTATACATTTTCTTATTTTAAGTGGTGTTCTTGAAAAACACTTCTAAGTTCTAGTTGCCAATGAAATTTAAATTTATGCCGCCTTTGTTCACAGATCTCCTTTTGTTTTTTTTTTCTGAGATCATTTGTAGTATCAGTTTATTTTCGGATCCTTGGCGATGAGCGGAAATGATCTTTTCTATTCATTTGGTTCTGAATGACTTATTCGGATCGGTCTTTGTTTATTAAAATGGAGTTCTATTTCTGATTTTAATTTTTTTGGATATTGTTTGGAATTTTTCATGGAGTTCTTGCTTGCGCGAATTTACTGTTTAAGCAAGAGCTTGACAGTCGTGGATCTCAACTTAAAATGAAAAAGTTCAGAAGTGTTGTGTCAGTTCGTGATTAGTTTGCATTTTATCTGGGTTTTACAGAATTCTTTGCATACGACAACGAAAATGCAGCATGGCTTTGTTTCTTCCGCCAATGAAGATCACATCGTGACATCCTCCATGTCACCGTTCATGTTCGTTCCACCCGATCTCCGCAACACATCTCCTCCATACCATCCAACTGGCAGCAATTTTCCCGGGTTATCTCCTAAGGTTTCCCATCCTCTGGTCAACCAATACTCTGTCTCCACACCGATCCAAATCTCAGGCAAGACACCCGTCACGCTTTCTCCATCCCCAATTTCTTTTGACAATAAAGATCCTGTCGTCAGTGAGAACAGCCGCCTCTACCTCTCCCGCCTCGCGCTTCAATATCAGCAGATCGCCGACCGCTATGAGTGCTGCCTCTCTCAACTCGAAGAAGCGGAACGGGAGGCGGAGACCGTTAGTAAGCAGAACTCCAATCTACGCCGTACTAATGAAGAGCTCTGTCGGCGGTTGAGCGTCAACTCCGGGAAGCATAAAAGCAAAAATCCGATTACTGATGCGAACTCTCCAATGTGGCTCCTGAATGACCACTTTCGACGCCTCTCTTTGGCAGAGCGGCCTGATGAAGCGAGCCCCACGAGCGTGTTTGGATTCCAGGACAATCATCTAGGGAGAAAATGGCCATCTGTGGATGACAAACGCATCACGCTGCCAAAAAGCATCTCGGTCCGTTCTACCGGCTATCTCAAGCTCCACCAGATGGTAGGCAGCTGCTCTGAATTCAACCGCAACCCCAGACATCGTCCCACCACTCCTGTGATGGTAAGAGCGCGCCGCATCCCCTTTCGGTTTTTTTCACTCTAATTAATATTCTATTTACATTAATTTTCTTAAAGCAAGTATTCTTGTCACTTTTGTTTTTGGCAGCAACAGAAAGTGCGCCTGGGCGGGGCAGAGAAGAAGGATGGTGGAGAAGCAGAAGATGCCGTGGAATTCGATGTGTATAGCCAGGGAATGTTTAAGACTGAACTGTGCAACAAGTGGCAGGAGACCGGGGGGTGCCCATACCGCGAGCATTGCCAGTTCGCACATGGAATCACTGAGCTGCGCCCAGTCATCCGCCACCCACGCTACAAGACCGAGCTTTGCCGCATGATACTCACCGGAGATACCTGTCCCTACGGCCACCGCTGCCACTTCCGCCACTCTTTGTCTCCGCAAGACCGTCTCTTCCGTCCCACCTGACCTCTCTTTGCGCTGCCGATTTATCCAACCATTTCGCAATAAAATACAAAAAGAAAGCAAAATTTCCAATCAGCAGTTCCGGGGTCACAGTTCCGAATTAGTGCAGTGAATTTACTATGATTCATAACGCATTTGTAAATGAGCAGAAAAGAAGGGGAAGTGGATTGCCAGGCGAATATGTAATTTTAGGTGTACAACTTGGTATATGGTTAATTAGTAAGTAATAACGGTAAACTTGCATGGGTTTTAGGTTGATGAGTGAAGGGTGGTGCGTGCCGTCATCCCGGGGTTCAGTTTTTCTTTGCTTTCCTCGATCAAACTGTTTTTTCAAAGATTTCTTCCAAAGTTCCTCGAAAATATTTCAATTGCTTGATTTTGTTATTTGTTTAATTCTCATTTGTAAATATTAGGATTGGCCTTATAGTTTGTTGGAGTGGGTGGTGGGGAAGGAGTAAAGGGGTGGATATTCTAGATATATTTTTTTGCTCTACTGTTTCTTTTGCTCCAGCATCCACTTCAACAACCCTCACGATGGCGATTCATTCGTTTGAACTACTCGCAAAAATCAACTTTGTAAACGGATACTTGATTTCTATTTTTTCATATGAGGTGGCCTTTAATTTCTATAAGAAGTGTTGGTGGTTCATATTAGGATTTGAAATAAACATAAGGCTATAAAAATTTAAAATTTTTGGTTCATTTAGAGTGATTCTACAATCGAGTGGATGAACAAATATTAAACCTAAAAAGCCAATGAAAGCTTGTCAGTTTTTGTTGCACTGTGCAAATAGTGATGTGGTGATGATAGTTGGGTTAAATTTGAAGAACATTACATTATTGGTAGATTCATTTCAGATGTAATTCAATAGATGGCTATCTTTAATAGTTTGTCATCCCAACAAGAGCTCATTTAATTGTTTCTATGTTAAAAAAAATCCCCATATAATGGCGTTCTTCTTATGTATTTATTTGCGGGGAATTGAAACTCTTAAGATATTGTCAACTATGAAATTAACTCTACTTGTTCTTTTTCGTTAGAGTTTATTCTTTTGATTTCTGTTGATTTGGATTTGGATTTGTAATAAATGTAAAAAATTAAAAAAAAAAAACTCTTATACCTAACTAAATGAAATTTTTAAAAAATGGTCTTTTAAAAATTAAATTTTAAATTTTAAGCAATTTACTTGAGACCATACGAAAAGGTAAAGAATGGCTTAATGGGATATATAAATATATATATATATATATATATATATATATATATATATATATATATCCTTTATCTGTTAACTTCCACCGCCCTTCATTCCTAGATGGAATAACGTCATAGCTGTCGGTTTCGCCACAACCAATCTCTTTCTAGCCCGATACCATACCCTTGTGCATCTCTGACGCACAGAGGAGCACTAAAATTTTGCTGGGGAAAGGTAATGAAAACAACGAGGCATATATTGAGAATGACTTAGGTCATTATAGTATACTAGAGAGGAAGAGGAGGGCTGTTTATTTGATGTTATTTGAAATCGAGTATTATGAGAAAATTAATTTAAATTTAGATATTATACACATTGAAAGAATAATTTTTGAGTTCTACATATAATTCCTACAAAGTTTCATGAGGCGCCAACTACACGGTAGTTTACAGGTCGCTGCATGTAACTACTAAACTACCTTAGGTCCTTTAAATTTCTATTTGAAGTTTAATTACGTCAATGTATTTTCCACCAAAAGTTGAGTCCTGAATTTCCAGCTTTGTTATATTTTGTCATGAATTTTTATAACAGCATTGTTAAATTATAATCTATATAGGTGGAAGCCAGAAATTTATTAATTGCATTAATTAAACTTCTTAATATTTGGCTGCCGAATGTCCTGTTTGAACGAATTAACTAAGCACCGCAATGCTTAGGATAATTAGAGGGATAATTCATTCCCTGAAATCTAATTAAAATTACTCCCAAATTTTAACTTTTCTCCAAGTTAGTTATCATTTGGATCTCAGTAAACGACAAATATGCAGTGACATCCTTTTTATCCAAACTATAAATTAATGATTGATGGTTACAACTAACAATCAATAAGGGCCCATTTTGGGGAGCCATTTTTATTGTTTTTCTTTTTCAAAATGCGTTTTGTTGCGTTTGGCATTCGACTTTTGCTCTGCTTTTTAGTGCCGACCGTCCCTGCAATGGAGAAAGGGGGAACTTGGGGGAGTTGATGCATTCCGAGGTGGAAACTTTGTTTCGTTTGCAAAATCACTTCGCTACTCCCATGCTAATGGTGTATACCTCGCCGTATCCCCGATATTGCACTTATGTTTTGCCTTCAATTCTCCTCCCACCTCTTTCTCTTTCACAGTGATTTTGCGACAAAATCTCATTCCTCTTATTTAGTTTTCGTCACGTCTCTTCTCTGTATGTCTAATGCCTCTCATTTTTAAATGTTGTGGTTTGATTATGGTATTTTGTTACTTTATTATTTTCTTAGCTATGTGTTTTTTATTTTACTTTTTGATTGTTTGAGATGCGTCAGTGCTTTGGTGGTACTCTTAATTTGGTAGTTTTCTTTTATTTATGCGTTGTGCTAGCTATTTTGAAAAAAACAATGCTGGTTTTTTGAGAAAACAACCATGATAATTTAGTTTTCTGATATTGCAAATATCTCAGTTCACATTTTGGATCTGTAGTTGAATTTCTCTTTCCTCATCATCTTCAAACATGAAAAAGGATTGTTGAAGGGAAGTTAGAAGCAATGCATGTTCTTTAATAAATATGCTGAATTTTGTTGTCTCTTATTGTGAATATATCTCTTTTTTTAGATCAGTGATTATATTTCTCATTTCCTCTTCTTCAAAAATTGAAACAACTATTTAGAAAGAATTTAGTATCAGTTCGTATTAAGTTGAGAGTATATGCACGAAAATTTTGTTTGTTGCTATTTCAAATGTCTCAATTTTTATGTTAGATCAGTGATTGCATTTCTCTTTCCTCCTCTTCAAAGTTCAAAAGGATTCCATGGAGGGAGTATATGAGTAGTGCTTGTTATTTTGGAAATACATCAATGTAATTTAATTTTTCTAATATTATAAATGTCTCAGCTTTCATGTTTGATCAGTGATTATGTTTCTCTTTCCTCTTTTTTATACTTGGAAATGTTTGTATTGAAGGAACATAGAAGTAGTGTTTGTTCTTTTGATAATATATCTTTGAGATTTTGGTTTTGTACTATTACAAATATCATAGTTTTCTTGTTAGAATAATTATTACATTTCTCTTTCCACTTCTTCAAACTTTGAAAATATTGTTTTGAGAGAATTTATTGGCTGTGCAAGTTATTTTAAAAATATGTACATAAGAATTTTATTTATGCAACTGCAAATATCTCAATTCTTATATTAGATCAGCAATGTTATTTCCCTTCCCTCTTCTTCAAATTTGAAAGAATTGTAAATAGGCTTTAGAGGAAGTGCTTGTTCTTTTGGAAATATATCAATGAAAATTTCATTTTTTTGTTGTAAACCTCTCAGTTTTCAATTTAGAACAGTGATTGCATTTAACTTTTTTCTTTTTCAAACTCATAGAAGATTCTTTGGATTAAGTCAGGAGTAGTGCTAGTTAATTTAAAAATGTATATATTACAATTTGGTTATCAGCCGTTGAAAATGCCTCAATTCCTATGTTATATCAGTGATAGTATTTCTCTTTACTATTCTTCAAACTTTGAAAGAATTGTATGGAGAAATTTAGGAGCAGTGCTTCTTCTTTTAAAAATATATTAAAAAAATTGGTTTTGTTTCTATCTCAAATGTCTCACTTTCTAATTTAGAATAGTGTTTGCATTCCCATTTTCTCTTCTTTGAATGTTGAAAGGATTGTTTGGAGAGAATTTAAGTAGTGCTTAATTTTTTTAACTATATACATGAGAATTTGATTTTCTATTATTGCAAATATTTCAATTTTCACGTTAGAATAGTAATGATATTTCCATTCCTCTTTTTTAAACTTTGACAAGTTTATATGGAGAAAATTTAGAAATAGTGCAGGTTCTCTTAAGAATATATTTCATGAAAATTTGATTTTTTGTATGTACAAATATATTAGAATTTAAGATTAGTGCAAATATCTTTGTTCATTTCTTAATTTAAGGAGAAAATGTGTTGAGTAGATGCAAATATCAAATTTTTTTGATGTTAGATCACTAAAACTACATATTGGGATGATGGCTTTCAATGTTTAGGTTGCGATACATTTTTTATTTGAAATGTATAATAGGAATGAGGGAAAATAAATTCAATGTGCTCAACCTGTCAACAACTGCAATTGATACTACCCGATTTTGTAGCTTTTAGATAAAATTGGTGATTGAGAATGATCCACCTGAAAATTACATGTTTTTAATATACATTTAATGTTCATTTTATACACATTTTTTATGATATTACACTTTAAAAAAATGTATTTTACATGTTTTTGGTTCAAGGTACAAGAAATAGATTATTGGACAAAATGGAGCAAAAATGATGCAATTTAGAGTCAAAATAAGTAAAGAAGAAAATTTTGACCTGACACATTTTGTTATGTCTTTCTATGCATAATCTCCCTTACATTTATCACATGTTTTTGAATGAAATTAGATATTAAAGAAATGTTATTTTCATGGTTATCTTTTAGGTATAACAATTTGGAGCGAAATGGAGCTGAAACGAGGCAAATTAGAGTTGAAATGGAGTGGAACGGGGCAAAACTGTGGAGCTGCCCGTAAGGTGGCACCTAAGCACCCAAAACTGGGGCCTAGACGCGAGTGACAATGGGAAAACGGTGCCTAGGAGTAAAAAATGGCGCCTAGGCGCCAAAAATCATGCGGGGGTGGGTTTGGACGGTTTTTGGAGGTTTCGGGATGTTCAGGAAGCTTATGGGCAACTTGAATGCCCCAAGATGATATTAAATGAACCTAGACACTTGAAAGTTTTATAATGAAAAGATTTGTCTCTTGGAGTGGAAGGGTGAGTCTAATGGAGAGAAGGGGTGTATCTTTTGAAAAAAGAGGTGTTTGGCTTCTCATTAAATAAGAGGGCTCGCGCCTCTCATGAGAGATAATTAGGTGTGTTTTAGGAGGAGTTTTAGAAGGATATTAAAGAGAGTTTGGTATAAGTTAATGGAGATGTATATTTATCCATTTTTTGGAGAGATTGGTGAGGGATTTTGAGAGATATGACTAAGGAAGTATGAGCGACACATGGATCAGCAGGAGACTTTGTTGGAAAGATTTTTCATATCTCTTTCAAATGGAAAAACTATGTATTCTTTCTACATTATCTTGTAATTGCTGTAAATATTTTCAATTGAATTTTCTTTGATTTAAATGAAGATTTCTTTTGTGTTTTATCCAT